AGGCAGTTACTAGGAGAAGACTGCTTTCTACGTCTGCCCACATGGTTGGGCTGGTAGTGGACCGGGGCTGCATTGGAAAGAAAATGAGGAAGAGAAGATCTGTCGTAGCACCTAATGGCGTCTCTAGACTTTGTTCCCTGACAAGAGTGAGGGTTGTGTTATATATTTAACTTCGTTTTACCTGTTTCCCCCGAGTCCTCATAAAGAATTTCGTCTGGGTCAGCTGAGTGCACAGTCTTTTGATGCTTTTTTTCCTGTTTGATGCTTTTCTTAAACTGCCCTCAATTGTTCATAAATAACCATCAGCAGACCCATCATCAATGGACAGTCTCACAGCTGAATAGAGGACTCCATCAGAATGGGTTAAAGAGCAACAGTAGTAACTGTTTAGGCCAACCCTCCTGCTGATGAAGATTAAAAATGTATCCCCTGATCAGACACAAGAGGACAAATGCTGTATGGCTGCAGGGCTGAGGGGCCTGGAGTGGACAAGTCCAGAGACAGGAAGTAGAATTGTGGTTACCAGGGACTGAAGGTGGGGAGGAACGAACAGTGTTTAATGGGTACAGAGTTTCAGTTTGGAAAGATGAGAAAGTTCTAGAGATGGATGGTGACGGTTGTGCAGCAATGTGAAGGTACTTACGGCCACTGAACTGCACCCTTAAAAGTGGTTTAAATGGTAAATTCTGTTATGTGCAGTTTACCACAAAACACATTTCCTGAGGAAAGGCAAGGCCCTGTGCCACCTTATGTGGCCACTCAGAGAAGGGCCGTGCAAGATTTCCCCTCCGAGATGTCAAACTTGGTCTATCCGAGAAGACTCTGGTTCCAGAGTATTAGGGTCAAAGCGACTTAGGGCCCGTCCAGATCACCTGGTTGTGCTGGGTAACACAGTGGGGACTGAGCTGGGGACCCAGCCACCAAGGAAGCTACTAAGTGGAAATGGGCATCCTTGAGACATTTAGTATTTCACAATCCTGAATCAGACAGCACTTAAGAGTTAAAACTGGCAGGTAAGCAGTCCGGGAGGCCCTGTGATCTCAGCAGTGGCAACATGGCCACAACTCATGCCCATCAGAAGCCCTGAACACCGCGGTGGGTAGTTGGTAAAAACAAATACAGGTGCGAATTATCACTTAATACAACCAGGTACTTCTGGAGATACTTTAAAACCTTGCTACTCAAAGGTGGTCTGCAAAGCACCAGCATGGGCTTTACGTGGAACTTGGCTCAATGTGCAGAACCCCAGGCCGCCCTAGTCCTTTGGGATCAGGTCTGCACTATTAACAAGATCCTCAGATTTATTTACACTTTGAAGCTTGAGGACTGCTTGAAGACCTGGACTCCATGGAGAACAGTAAACATGTAAGGTTTATTCTTTCAGTAATCTCTACATCCTACGTGGGGCTTGAACTCATGACCCGGAGATCGAGCGTTGCATGCTCTTCTGAGCGAGCCAGGGGCCCCTAAACGTGTACTTAATAGTGAACAGTTGGGAATTACTTGTTCACGGAAGTAAATCCATGATGCAATCCACTAGGGCTATCAAAGACATAGGGGAGTTTTACACTGGGAGGCTATCACTGGTACAGAGCCCTTGCCTTGGGGAAGGTTACGTTCTATACCATTCATGAGAACTCTAGTCTTTAACGAAGGTTTTGGTGGACAGCAAGGGAGGCAGTTGACATCACATATCTCACTGTGACTCTACCCCCAACATGGGCTCTGCATTGCAGAGGGACAGGGTAGGTGGACCCCCAGCCTGGCTGTCTGAAGTCTGGTGTGGACCCCTCACCCTCCAGCCCAAGGAGGGGGTTCAGCTACTACTCCTTGGTTAAGACACATCTATGTAGGAATTCTTTAAGATTTTATTTAAGGGGGCAGGAGAGCATGCACAAGAAGGGGGGAGCAGCAGTGGCAAAGGGAGAAGCAGGCTCCCCACTGAGCAGGGGGCCGGACTTGGGGCTTGATCCCAGGACCCTGGGATTATGACCTGAGCTGAAGGCAGACACTTAACCAACTGCGCTACTCAGGCCCCCCAACATGGGAATTCTCTTAATAGCTAGTCAGCTATTTTTCTGTATAATTGTATTTGTAGTTCTTTTCAAACAAGTTGTGGTCATGTAAAGAAATAAGGAAATCTCCTTCGACAGATTTTAATATGGGGCAGTAACTCCCTAATTGTATGGAAACGCTCCTTTCCCTAAACTCTTGCTTTGACTGATAACCACAGGTATAAGGGACTAAAACTACAACGTACTGAGTGTCAACTCTAAGGTGGATGCTGTTTATGTGCAGTTAGCTCATCAAATTTCCCCAAGTCCTGAGACTGTTCTGCAGAAGGGTCAACAGGCTCAAAGAAATTACCTAACCTGTGCCAGGTCAAAAGGCTACAACACAAGAGAGCCCATGACTTAAATCCAGGTGTATCTCCCCCGCTCCCCCCAGACCTACAGCTTTGCATGCCGGCATCTCGTGAACTGCCGAACTGAACCCCAGCATCAGGCTGGTTACATGTGTATTCACCCTTGAGTTGACGTGATCTCGTGGCCCATGTCACGTCTGCACCGAGGCACAAACTGGACATCTGTAAAGAGCTCTGCAGGCTCCAGGGGTCTCACAGCTGTTTGATGGCATGAGAATGACCAGGCAGCATTTCCCATTTCCTGGTCTCTCAGGCATCAAAACAAGACAAGAAAGGCTGTTTTTTAAAGATATTTCCTGATGAATGAAACCTAGGAAGTACTGGAAATCTTAGGGATGTCTGATCTTGTAGAGATTTTTTCCAACCCCCTCCCTATTTTCCTCTTTGCCAAAGAGAAAATCGTTCTTGTGGGGCAGAGGCAGAGGGCAGGGAGACACTAGGTAGCAGAAGAGCACTGTAGCCTCCGTCTCCTGAAATCCTTCCTGGGATAGTTTAGCCACTGGAGTGGGCTTCTAAGCGTGCTCTTCTAACTAAAAAATCATCGGCTCTGTCTCTGCGTGAAGCTCCCACCACAGCAGCTGATGTCCTCCATGTCACATGGGGACACTATGAAGTGACCTCTCAGAGGACGCGCCCAGGGTTTGAAGTGGAGCTTGGCTGAAATGAGAAAGAACAGGACATGGCTGTTGGAAAGTCTTTTTGTCAAAAATAATTACAACATGCCTGGTGTTAAATGAACATCAAAGAAATGATAAAGCTCCTCTCTTCAAAAACCTTTCAATATTGTGCAAGAGACTAAAAAAAACAAAAAACAGGAAAACCCAGTAAAGTGTTGTGAGTGTGATTAGCTAAGGGCCACAACACCACAGCCCTGCTGAGCTTGGTCTGTTCACAATGGAGTCTTGCCAATGGCACCTCCAAATCCTCACACCGGTCTCCCCCTCAGGCCCCACTTGGGCTTCCACGGTACCTCCTTCCATCCTCCGCCCCGGCCAGCTTTCCCCACACTCCACAGGGTAGCCAGCCAGACACTTCTGAACGTAGATGTTTTGATGGCCCCCTTGTAATGACTCTGAGTGGCTCCCTGCCCTTGTGACACTACAGAAGCCAGTGAAAGCCCCAACATTCTTGGTCCGATTGCCCCTGCTGCCTCACGTTCTTCGGAGTGCTTAGCTTCCTGCATGTTTTCAATCCTTTTTAGTTTTGTCCATTCTCTTCCCTCTTCCCCTTATCTCTTAGGGCTTTTAAAACTTGGCTTAAGTGTTACAACCTCTAAGATAACTTCTTAGAAAGTGCACCCATCTTGGTTCTAGAACATGTAGCATGGCCCAACCGCTAGGAGCACAGGCTGGTACCAGATGGTGTGGGCAGGCTGTCATTCTGACCTGGCCATTGACCATGTCACTTAGGTCAACTATTTTGTTCATGTTGTGCTTTAATTTCTCACCTATGAAAGGACAGGGGTCAGACGTACTTCACTGGATTATTGTAAAGATTGTATTCAAACAGTTCCTGGCACGTAGCAAGTATGCAATAAATTTTACCTATTACAACCCTCACGGTATTCTCTTTATTGGTGTCTCATTTGCCAACTCTAAGATCTCTGAGGCTGGGGACTGTCTCCAGTCATCTGTGAAACCTCAGGAAGGCAGAGAGCAGGTGCTTACAAATATGCCTGAGGTGAACTGTTAAGAATCTTTCTGAAGGTGAACATAAAGCCTGGATGACAGATCTGGAAACAGCATTCCAGGTAGGGATTATGACAGGATAACATAAGAAGGAATCTGTGCAAGAGGATGGAGGAAGTGAAACAGGGAAAAGGGAAGGCTGAAGAAGAAAGGGAATGCTGATGTCTGGAGCCAAGAGGGATGCAAAATGGCTCTGTCAAAGGGCTGCATGGAGAATGAAGCAAGACGATGCAACAGAATCTGGTGGAGAAAATTCCTGTAAGCGACGAGACTGGTCAGAGAAAAATAGCCATTATTCATTAGTCGCTGGAATAGCTACTATTCCCAAACCCTTCTTCCTTAGAAAGAAAAGGCAATTTTAGGATCACAAGGAGGCCATGTTTTTTTTATTGACAACTCAATCTCTACATACGTACAGTATTGCACAGATTATAAGTGAATTGACAATTATATATTAACAATATGGACTCATGAGTATTTACATACAGCTACTACTCTTAAGTGTTGGTGCATTTTGTGCCAGGTACTTCAGTAAATACAACGGACATAAATAGTTACACTTCAATTCGTGAAAATCAGCTTTTAAAAAAAGCGTATGTGTCTTCGCATAGAACACTTAGTATGTCAAACCCAGGAAAATCAGTAACTAAATGACAAAAAGAATGCTGTTAAAGAAAAGTAAGTGATGAAAATGTTAAGAATTACAGTCACTGAACTTCAGATCCAGAAAGTGTACATGTATTGGGAATTTTAAGAAAAGACCTTCATATTCTGCTTCAAAATGACTACTATATTCGAAAAGGATATTTTTGGGTTGGTACAAATGTCTTCTCTGCTAATATAAACCACTGTTTCAAAGTTCTAAAGAAACAAGATGGTAACTCACATAAGTGGGTTTTAAAATAAGATTCTTCTCACTCAAAATAAAATAAACTAAATATGATCTTCATCAAATTATAAAGAAATCTTATCAAAATGCCAACCAGATAAAGAAGCCAGACCACACACTGATCTTCACTGACTGCCTCAGACTGCAGAACTAGTGGCTCCTCCACAGAAGGGAAGAGAGTGTAGTTCCAGTTCTGCTGCTACACAGCCCATAGTGTGAGGGTGGACGGACATCCTGTAGGTTCCCTGGGGGTTGCTTCCCCAGGTATAGCATTGAGGGGGTGGGCTGGATGGCTTTTAAGACACCTTGCAACCAAAAGGATCTAAGCCAGCTTGAGATTCCACCTTTGAGGGGATGTTCTGGGTAGCAAAAGAAATGGATTAAAAATAGTGGGTGAAGTATTTCTTACCTTTTGATGTCATCGCTCAGAACTGTTCTGCACTGCAGTTCAAGGTAATCTTTGTTCGATACTTTCATCTACCGGCTGGTGCTGCTAAAGGGTAAAGCAAATGAGGCATCTGACAAAGAAATTTTGGACACAAACGTAGAAATGCTGTGCCAAGTTTGGGTGGAAAACCAGTGCACTTCCACGTCATGCCGGCAGTCAGGATCTTCTGCCATCAATCTGGTCGGGAAATGAACGTTCACGCCACTCTCAACGGTGAGCTATGGCGTGCACACGTATTAAAAATACGTTTCCTGAAACCCTCCCAGGTAGGCAGCTTTCATGAAACTGGTTCTAATAGAAAGGATGCAAGACAATTAAGTGCAGGGTAGGACTTTTTTTTTTTTCTTTACAAATCAGGAAAATGACCCAAAGAGAGCAATGGTTTCTCATTTTGTGCCCTCTAAAAAGAATACAAATATCGCTTCTTCTGGAATCTAACACACTGGCTTCACTTTCAAAATGCATCATTTTATTTTCCTCATAAGGCAGTCATACATTATAAACTTTAAGCACGTGACAGTCACATGATTTCTTCAGTAAGCCCTAGGACTTCCATGAGTTTTCCTGGAGCTTACAGCCAGAGTAGTCAAATATTAAAGCTTTCTCCACAGCCACACGTTCCTTTGATGTTTGGGTTATTGAAAACAAACTCACTGGATAATTTATCTTCAACATAGTCCATTTCTGTTCCTAAAAGTGTTAGCTGTGCTTTCTTTTCGATGAACACTCTGACTCCTTGGGGAGAAGAAAACACGTGTCACATAAAGCCTGCAGGTCTATGGAACCTGCTGATTCAAAGCACAAGTCAACTTTTTAAATAGTAACCACTGACAAAAGTCAAACAGAAAACTTCTGAATCTGTTTCATTATTTCCTTTAAGAGATTAGGGCTCAGTTTCCTGTCTGTCCCTTCTTTTCCACCCAATAATGTATGTCAAACACAGTATCAGGCTTGGCAGTTGTAGAGAAGCATATTCCAATGACAATTCCATGCAAAACTAGAATTTGCTTTTCACAATACTTCACCCATTTTTTCCAATTTGCAACATGAAGGAAATGTGTATATTCTGAGACTTGTGTAAAAACAGTCAATAAATATGTGAAAAGCCTGTACTGACATCCGTACACATGACACACTGGCAAGCCGAGAGATGCACAGGACTGTGATACACCAGGCTGGGGTCATAAGGCCCATCAGTGCAACATGGCTGTTTTGTTCTTCTGCTCATGGGCCAGAAAACTGGCAGTAACATAACTCCCTTGAATTACGCAGGTAGAGGTTGGTATCTTCATAAATATAATTGGTTTAAGAAAGCTTTCTTCCTTATAAGAAACTAATTATTCAAATGTAAACTATATATAGTTATTAGAGCTCATCTTCTGAAAAATTTAATATTTAAGGTATTTTATGTAGTGATTTAAAAAACAACATATTAACAAAAATGTCATTATTGGTCAGTAACTTCAGTTTAATGAGATGAACGGTAGGAACCTGCAAGCTAGCTAACAGCACAGCTCTGACGCAGAGCCACCACTGAAATGCCCGTGCACGCTGAAGTTCTCCCAAGGCTGTGGCATTATTTTCTTTTAAATAGGTTTTATCAGATTACTGGGTAGGGGCACGGGGCCAAAAGAAAATTAAAGCACTGACATTTTTAATAAAAATTAAAAGTACAGATTCCTCAAAAGCATAAGATGACATTACTTATTTGGTATAGACGTCAAACTGCTGCTTCCCACAAAAATGGATGGTTTGGTCTAAAGTTTTAGCATTTTAAAACCTTTCTGCACACAATGATTATCTTTTGTAATTGAAATAAACAAACAAACGATAAGAGCACAGCCTCTGGAATCAACTTGAGTAGGTTCAACTTTTCACCAGGCCACTGAACTAGCTGAGTGATCTTAGGCAAGCTATTTCACCTCTCCATGCCTCAGTCTCTTCATCTGCAAAATCGGGGACAAAATGGTACCATTCTCACTCAGCTGCTGTGTATAAATCACTTGATACATGAAAGTCTGTCAAACCACCCTACCTCACAGCGAGCACTATATATGCTTAAAACTCACCATCTTGAACAACTTCTTCATCAGAATCTCCTTTTGTCTTTGTATATTCTAGAGTATAAGAAAGGCCATTACAACCCCTGGTTCGGACACCAACTTTCAGACCTACCTGAAAAAGCAGTGTAAATATAAACTTAGTTTTAAAGTAGTACGTATTAAGCATTTATAAAAACCCTGGCTATTTGACGTTATTTGTTTCTTCATAAGCTTAAAGAGGAATATTAGATTTCTGGCTATAACATGTCCCTTTAGGAAGTATAAGTGGAAAGGGAACAAGCATTTAAAAAATTTAGCTATTTAACAAACAGCACTGCAATACTAGTGGGGAATCCTAAAATAAAAACAATTATATGCAAAAAACCCAAAACAATACAAAGGGGAAACCCCCCAAAATCAGTCACTATCACTCTAAACATATTTTTATTTCCTTTTTTCTTCCAGTCCTTGTCATATATACATATAATCTAAACACAGGCTTTATTATAACAGGAATAAGTCTTAATTCTCTGATTTGTTTTTGCCACTTAAGACATCATCCTTCCATGTGATTAACTTTCACAATTATCATTTGCATATAATGCCTTAGCAGTCCACTATACCAAGGCATGTTAACTACTTAACCTTTACTATTAGCCGTTTAGGTTGGGAATAACATTTTTAAAGGAAGAGGTGTTTTTTTTTTTTAAAGTAAGTTCTGCCCAATGTGGGGCTTGAATTCACAACCCTGAGATCAAGAGTTACATGCTCTACCAAATGAGCCATCCAGGTGCCCCTTAAAGAAGAGTTTTAATTCTAAACAATAATCACTTTTTTTTTTTTAAAGGAAAAAGAAAGGTATCTGATGGCATAGACGACTACTTAACAAATTCTCACTTCCTCAAAACGTTTGTGCTCCACCTCATCGCCTGAGATGTTCTCAGGAAATTTCCCTCCCTATGATTAGGTTCACTGAGGTCCCCAGGCTGTCCCCTGGCAATCATACCTGCCTCTACACAGGGCCTTAAATCTAAGGCAGAACTATGAAAACATTCTCAAGTACCAGAAATCAAAAGACTGCAGCCAACACAGACGTTAAGAAGTTTTTAAAAAGTGACCAAACTGCACTTTTAAAATACCAACGTCTATCTTAATGTGATTTTCTAACAGTATCTATTGAACTTCTACTCTTGGATCCTATCTGCTTTTTTTAAGTATACAGTAAAAGTATTATCATAAAAAGTATGATTTCACCAAGCAGATCTTGATTCTCTTAAAAGCAGCAATGTGTACTTGCTTCAGGAAAGCAATCACGACTGGGAAGACACTTGGTGGGACCGGGAGTTAGAATGCTAAGCTGCCTGGGAGTTCTGATGAGCTGAAGCATTCTGACAGTAGTCTCTTCTGTCCTTAAACAACAAGGAGACAGAACTGTGGTTTTATTCACTCTCAGAGTGAGAGCTGAGAGAACATGTGGGGCGTTTCACATATTCAGCATGATCAACAGTCAACTGTCTAGCTGAAATTCCGGAGCACATGTCCTAGGTATTGACTTGACTTAGCTTTTATCTTCATAAACAGGAAAGACTCAAGCAAGCAGAAAGTCCAACTACTAGGAATGGATACAGATACTTACAGAATACAGGAAAATACAGCTTTAGGTGCCTGGAGTTTGGAAAAGGGACTGCTTGTACCAGCAATGACACCCAATGAAGTGTTTGCTCCATCCTTTTCATGTCATTGTCATCCCTCAAACCTACACAGTGTTTCCTTTGGTCGATACCTATATACTCTTTTCATTAGTCTATCCTAATGGAGATGGCATTCTGATATTTTTAGCATTGAGTAATTCTTAGGAGGAATGTGCCAGAACTTCATTACATTGTAATGTAGGTTGTACAACAGAACCTAGAAACCATTCCATACTCTAATTACTAATAGTTTAGTACTTGGATGTAATTTACAATATTCCACAGGCAACTAACAATTCACGAAGGTGAAGGTGATGCACACCACTCCCCTTACTCAACAATTTTTCAGCTGGGAGGACAGCCTACACAGGTGCACTAAACCAAGCTTACAGGCTTAGTCTTCTAGAACAATGGGCCTGGCACACTACAGACACCAAATATTTGCTGAATGATATTTGTGGCAGCACTAGATGTAAACAACCCCAAAGACCTTTAATATGGGGGACTGGCTAAATAAATAAAATAAAATACACTAATATATGCAGTCATAAAAAAAAGAATGAGGTGGGTCTTTCTGTAATGCTCTGGAAAGAACTTCAAGCTATATTAGGGGCAAAAAGCAAAGCATAACGACAGCATATATGGAATGCTTTCCTCTAAGTAGGAAAGGAGATACACACAAACATTCCAAGCATGATCTAGGCCAGTAGTGCCCCTCGGGGAATTATTATTGGTTGTCACAACTGAGGAGTGGGGCGGTGCCACCGGAATCTAGTGCACAGAGGCCAGAGATAATACTAAACATCCTGCAATCCACCTCCAACAAAGAATTATCCGGCCCAAAACATCAATAGTGCAGAGCCTGAGAAACCCCAGTGTAGGCAGATAACAATGTACAGATGGTCTCAGGAAGGACACTTAAGAGGTGGGCCCTTAGAAGGATAAAAGACAACCAAGAGTTTGGGGTCACAAAATGAAGTGTTTTTCACTGAATACCCTATTATATTTTATTTGAATCTCTATAAACCATGAGCATATTTTACTTTTTAAATAAAAATCCCTAGCCAGTGAAAACATGCTGTTTATCACAAGATAAATTCAGTGTGAAAATACAACTTCAATTTTTTACTGAATATTCATCTGATTGGTTTTACTTACGTGTTCGGGCTTATCTTTAAGAAGCTGTTTTATCTTGTTTACTGCTGAAGGTGTCTGAAAAAAGAACAAGTTATTAAGTTTTTAGCTACAAAACTTGCTTTCTTTAAAGCCTTATAGTTCTGTAGTCTTTAAGACTATTCAAGTATATCTTTGGTAAATTCATCTGACAAATTTATGCTCTTGTCTGAGTACCTTGTGGCTTTTATACACAAACACATGAACTCTCAACTCAAAGCATTCTATTTTTATTTTTTAAAATACCTTCTGGCAACATCCTTCGAATCTTGTCCCCGCCCCCCCCCGTCAAGATCAGCTCCCTGTCATAAGTTCTCTGGTTCTCTCTACTTACATACATCACAAATCTAAGTTTTCTAGGCAGCATCTATTTTGTGCTCCTACTGTATGCTCAGTAACAAGCACAATCCCTGACACACAAATGGCGCTCAACAGCCAATGAATCAATTAAGTCATCACTGGGGAAGCCAACCTTCAGACATTTTTTCTTTTGATCATTATTAACCTATTGTTTTTATATTTTTTGCTTACCCCAAATCTATCTCAAGTCCATCAATATGCACAGAGGGAACAACGTAGCATCATCAACCCAGAGGGTGCCTCTCATACCAGTCCCACCACATGTTCACACAGATACTAAATGTGGTTTAAAACAACATCATCTCAGGATATCCGGATAAACAGAGCTAAGCTAGTCAACTACAGAAACAAGCACAAGGAGGCATTTTTCAGGAGCAGTGCTGTTTAATTACGTAGCCCATTTGTCCTCAAAATGACAAAAATGCCACAATGTATTCTATGTGTATGGGTCAGCATCATCAATCCCATTTTCTGGGGAAATGCAATTTTCCAACATCTACTGAATTTCTGTTCTTGGATCCTATCTGCTTTTTCACGGTGCTGTCAGTGACAAAGTCTATTCCAGGGCATTCCTGCCCTACTTCCTAGCTGTGTCCAAGCCTGTTACTTGGCTTAAATGGGGAGAACAAACCCTCCTCCTCAGGATTCTCGTGAGGATTAGATAAGTTCATGAAGTACATTTAGAACGGTGCCAGGCACAAAGAGCTCAATATAAACTGCTACTTCACAATGATGAGAGTGTATTAACGAAGAGATCATGTCCTTCCCACTTCGTTTTATTAGCTCCTTAGCTGGCAATGCTGTGCTGGTTCTCCCGTTTTTTTACTGGCATTTTATTGGCTTGTGGAATCCCACAGTGGACATGATGACCTATGACTTGGAGGTAACTGTAGCCAAAACCCCAGCCTGTGCGAGGGGAGCAGACTGAGGATGGCCACCGAGTGTGCTCTCTGGCCTGGCCGGCAGGGCCTCGGCCACACGAGGATGTTGAAGCACAGTCGGCACCCGATTCAGAAAGGCCATGAAACCAATTTAGAAGGCTGACGCTAGTATTTTTTAAAAACACAAACTAGAAGAGAAAAGAAAACAATGTATTACGCTTGAAGATGAATGTTCAAAGAAACTCTTGACTTCAATCATTAATGTACGGTGGGTGTGCACATATATATTTATTGTGCATAACTGTAAAAAAAAAAAAAAAAGGTAAAAAAAAAAATCACCACCAGTACGTGGTTTATAAAGGCCTTTTCCCACGACTCTACCAGAACAGAAGCCAACCAGTGTGACAACAGTGGACGATAGGGAACAGTATGCCGGGGGAAGAAAAAGGAAACGGAGAAGAGCAGAATTATCGTTTTGCTTTGTTTTTTTTCTTCTTTTGAGATCACAGCATGTCAACCTCAAATAGTTACAGGAATATTTCTGAAAAAAATGTTTAAAAATGCTCATTTACCCTTCCCAACAATTGCCAGTAAAAACTAGCTTCTGTTACTCTCATGGTCTTATTTCCCACATTGAGTCCTGAAGAAATTAATCTAATTACTGTCAAAGAGCAAAGGATTTCTGATAAGTTTAAAAAAAAAAAAAAAAAAGGCAGGCGCCTGGGTGGCTCAGATGGTTGAGCGTCTGCCTTCGGCTCAGGTCATGATCCCAGGGTCCTGGGATCGAGTCCCGCATCAGGCTCCCTGCTCCTTGGGAGCCTGCTTCTCCCTCTGCTTCTCTCTCTCTCTCTGTCTCTCATGAATAAATGAATAAAATCTTTAAAAAAAAAAAAAAAGGCACAACCATGGGAAAATATTTATTGCAAGTACAACTTGCCTTGTAATGCTGGAGAGTCAAAGGTGAGGAGGGTCCACGGCTGCATGACCAAAACAAAGAAGACAGGGTGTACACACTACTCTGTCAACAGACCCATGTGTTTTTATCTCCACGTGATTATTAAATTACTGAATTTGATTTTACAAAATAATGTTTTTTCTTCTTTTCCCAACTCTTAGTAGAAAACACTTACACAGAGTACACAAAAACAATTCATGGAGTGGTCCACCTATCCCGAAGCGGTCGACTTCACACTCCTATACTCTTAAGGGAAAAGTAACCTGTTGTGCCTGGGAACTGTCATTATAGGAACCAAAATGAGTCTTTCTTAATTTTCCTGTGTCAGGCCAAAACCAAACATACTGCATTGGGAGGAGTGTTATTAATGATGGAAACCCAGCGGCATACTTACTTAAAGGGAAAGATAGGGATTTTAAAACTTTCTAAGTGAGGGACTGATTTTCAGAACAAGTCAGAATGGCTAAAAGGGAACATGTGGCACGTGAAAAAAAATGCTAGCTATAAAAAATATTTTCTGTATCTCAGCACCAGGCAGAAGCTGAGGATCCTACAGGCTCCACAGCTGTTTGCAGGCTCTGGCAACTCTGCAGTAAGTACACTCAATCTGGCAAATAGTCCGAAAACTTCACAACTAAACAACAGGCTGCAGGCCTGGTAGCCTTCCAATTTCCATGCACTCCCCCCAAACAATTAAGACACCTATACTTTTCTAAGAAATGTATGTAGAATTAATGACTTATTCACCTGAGATTTGGCCAATGAATTAAAGTTTGAGATTCCTGAAACTCAATGAAATATAACGATGGTTTTTAATCTACTCAGAGGTAGATCACAGAACAAGACAAAAGGCCCTTAAAAAAGATTTTTAGTCCATTTTTGTATCAGAAGCTTTTCATCCTCAACACTGTATTTCCTTAGGTAATTCCCCAGGCAATTTTAATATTTTGCTGTCCAAGAAAACAAAATTAAAACCAAAGCTAACTCCATGATTATGTACACTAAACATGTGCCAACAACTACAACCTATTTTTTTTTTTTTTTAAAGATTTTATTTATTTGACAGAGAGAGACACAGCGAGAGAGGGAACACAAGCAGGGGCAGTGGGAGAGGGAGAAGCAGACTTCCTGCCGAGCAGGGAGCCCGATGTGGGACTCAATCCCAGGACCCTGGGATCATGACCTGAGCTGAAGGCAGACGCTTAACGACTGAGCCACCCAGATGCCCTACAACCTATTTTCATTTTCATTATAAATGTGGCGCTTTAATGTTTAAAAGATGGTAGATAAATAGCAGCCAATGAACAAGTTGCAGTATATTTTAACTCATTATGGCATTATGGTGTTTCCCCTTTTGTCTTTTCCTATTCATCTGTGTGTGTGTATATATTTTGTGGCCTACATTTTAAACAGTTTAACATGTTTCCCATGCAATACATAGTAATAAACATGTTAACCATTTACTGAGTACCTTCCATGTGCTTAGTGGTTTATATGCATCATCTTATTCTTACAATCCTGTGATTTAAGTATTAAAGATTAAATAATTGACACAGGGATAGTAAGTTAAAGAATGAAGAGTTATGACTCCCAAACTTAAAAAAAAAACCTTATTTACAGTGACTACATAATAGTTCACCAACTGGATCTACTCACTAACTGGCTCTACTCTAATTTATTTAACCTCTCATTGTTATACATTTAGGCTACTTCCAATTGTTTCCTGGAGAATATCCCTTAAATTGCCTAAATATACAAATTACTGCTTGGTCATTGTTCCAAAGGACTTCTGGTACTTGTCCTTCAATGAATTAACAGCTCCTTATTGGGGCTCAAGTAACATATTGTTTCCTTGTCCTTCTCAACCAGGTGCCGCTAGAAATTTTAAAGTACCCACTGCACATAATGAATTAACTTCCCTCTGTGCATGAAGAATGATGCTGACTATGTACCATCATTCTCTTACAACTTTGGTTGCGCTTTATGAACAGCTATAGTTACGTCCCTAATCCTAAATTATAGTTGTGCTAATTCTGATTTGTAGAACGATGGAAATAAAAGCCTCTGCCAGGAGGGCAGTGTTAAATCTTCAGGCTTTCATCATATTTTACTCTGGCTCCTACAAATTCAATTTCTTTTGCCAACACCTGGGCATGCAGAGTAGGGACAGCATCCTCTTTGGAGGTTCTCTACAGGTGTCCCAAGGTACTCAACTTTGAGGTGGTGGGGTGGAGTCTTAAAACATTCAAAGAACCATCTCTGGTTGCATAAAAGTGTTAAGGGCTGCCTGTCACCAAACTAAGCCTTCTGTTCCAGCAAACCACCAGTCCTCTCCTGGATTAACATCAGTTAATGTGGATACCTGGGCGCTGACAGCATGGAACCATGTTTTCATTTCATCAATTCCTTTTCCTTTTCCTAGCCTTTTGATGACCCCTGGTAGGCTACACAGGTACAGCACTTGGACAAGTTTGCACCATGTCAAACTCCTGATGTCAAATTTATATATCTAGGTAACACTGATCTCTTCCTACCCATTTTGTTGAATCATCTCTAGTTTCATCTGCTTTCATCTGTATTCACTCATTAGCCCTTTGATCACCTGCTTCTGCACTCGACAGAACATGCTGGAATTTACAATGTTTGCAAAAACACCCGAAAACTAAGAACAGACAGCAATTCATGCATGCCACAGTGTCTTGAGACTAGGGAACATATGCTACGATTAAAATGACTGCAAGCCTGCTATGCAGGCCGTGGGTGGAAAGCAGCAAGGACCTGCTTTATCTTTGGCACCAGCTAAAACTACAGGGAAAGGAACTTCTAAAGTTAGCTAGACAGTTAAACAGGCTAAGTTCAGACAATGGACTTTGGCAAGTTAATCAGAACACTTCATCAAAGGCAACATGGAGCCCCTGTGGACTAAGAATTGACAAGATAAAGAACTGACCAAATTCTGTTAGCAGAATTAGCTCAGTAACAGGTCATGAGGCAGGAGCAAGTGTAGACAGCTCAGGTCTGAGAATGCGAGCTGTGTTATTATCCCTAGTAATTCTAGGGTGGCAAAGGTCTGGCCCACAACGGTGTCCCTGGAGGGTGGGAACTGTGTAACTCTATTTCTCGTCCTGAAACACAGGTCGTCTTAAATGTCAGCTGAATGACAAGGAATGGAGAGGAAAGGAATGACTCAGAGATTTTAAACAAGCAGGTAATATGCTAGATGATGGACAAAGAAAAGGCCAAAAAGCGTCTCTACCTCTTCTTTCTCGCTCTACCATTACCAGTGGTAGAATTCTTTTCAGTTCTGAATATTTTTTAATTGAGATTGAAAGACACAAAGTTTGACTCATGCCCTTTAGTTCCTGTGATTTCAAGACCTTGGAGAATTCTAAGATCTGATGATGTTATCTTCCAGACATGAAACCGGCTTGGTCGTACAGAAAACAGTAATACAGAATAATCGGGATAACTTCTGTACAGGCTGGAAACATTGATCCATTATAAAAATTAATTCTTCCACCTGATCACAACTTTCTTCTATTTTGGTACAACTGATTTTCTGACAACAGGCTTTCTTATAGAATTAGCTTGAATGGAATCCGTGATTCATTCTAATTCTCACTCTCTAGGTGCTGAATGCTTGCACAAGAGTGGAGTGAGAAGAATGCTGAACTGATTCATAAGCTTTCCTATGAAATCCAACTCTTCCAAAACACAAGTGACTGCCTAACGGATACCGAGTTTTCTTGGAGTGAAATGTTCTGGAACTAGATAGAGGTGATGCTTGCACAACATTGTGAATGTACTAAATGCCACTGAATGGTACATTTTAAAGTGGTTAATTTTATGTGAGTTCTCCCTCAGTTAAAAGAAAGAAAAAAAAAGCGACTGCACAGTACACCAGGGATCCCGTCTGCGTGGTAAATCCCGCGGTGAGCATCTGCGGCATAGACTCTGGTGCCCTCCCAGTGTGTTCGACCTTTCACCCAGAAAACGCCCAACGCTCACTCAGGGTAGAGATTTTTATCCTTCTTTGTCCTTTGTGAGAGCCGACCACGGCCGAGGCCCGCTGGAGGGACAGAGGGTGTTTCAAAAAGCCTTCCCTCCCAGATCCCAGGAAGGAACCCTTTGTGCACTACAGCCTTGATCTCAGTGAGGGGTGGGCTTTGTTGAGGCTGCGCTCTCACGTCGCCCGCCACGCTCGCCCCATCGTGCCCCGGCGAGCTTCCGCCCTCCACGCGCACCTCGAAGGCAGGGGGCCCGGTTCCCTCCCCCAGCTTCCCGCACGCCGAGCTCTGAAAGGCCCGCGACCCAAGCACAGCCGCACCCCCAGGCTCGCAGCGGGCCGCCTCGGCCGCCCGGGAATTCGCGCACACACAGCAACCCCCACTCCCGCACGCAGCGGCGCAGGGCCTGCTGGGAAACGTAGTTCCCGGGGCGTCCGGCTCTCGCGGAGCAGCCCCGCCCGGGCTTGTTTATCTCCCCAGCCGGGGCGAGGAGGACAGGGCGGCTACGCAGCGGCCGCGGAGCGGGCCCAGCGCCCTGCCGCCGTGACCTCCTCGAGGGGGCGGGGGTGAACCAATGTCACCCGTCCGACCGCGCGCCCTGGCCACTCACCAGGGTGAGGGCGGCCCGGGTGGGCTGCAGTTTCCTCTTGCTCACAGCCCGGACAGTGGCTCGGACTAAAGAAGCCGACATCCTCGCCGTCCCGGAGCCCCGGTGCCTCGGGCCGGAGCTCGGCCACCTCAGCCTCTCTCCATGGACACGGCGGCCGCATTGACGCCACAGGCTCCGGCGCACGGCGCCCCAGGCCCCGCCCCGCGCGGGCCCGCCCCCGCCGTTGCCATTGGGCGGGCCGCGTGAGTGACGGGCGGAGGGCGGGGCGCGGCGCTTGGGCCGTGGGCACGTGACGCGAGGCTCAATGGCCCGGGCCATTGGAGGTGCGTGGGGGAGGGAGGCGCAAGGTCGTCTGCGCGAGGACTACCTCCGCGCGTCGTGGGGAGTGGGGTTTGGGCACGTGGAGTGATTGCTGACTTGTGGACTCTGGAGGCGTGTCGCTCCACGATCTGTCCCTGAGAAAGGTGCGGCGTCACTGCGTAAGAACGCTGAGCACGAGAGCTGGTGCTCTCCAAAGCAGAAAGGTTCCGAGGCCCAGGTACATACATTTGTCTTCCTTTTTGGTCGAGCTAGGCAGTTCTTAAAGAGCATAGACTTACCGCAGAGTCGTGAAAGAAACGGCTGAGACACCCCCGGCCCCCCCGCCTCACCGCATGCTGTACTGCAAGGGATACTGGAGGACGGTGCTAATGTAACTTTAGCTTTGAGGTGCCGACTTTGGAACCCAAACAGTCCGAGGATGTGATTGGGCAGCTCCGTCAACACTCATAGCGTGAACCGTCTAATAAGCTTGATTTAACACCTGTTGTTTGTCAGACCTTGTCGTGGCTGCTCAGGGGCTTCTGCCTTTTAATTCTGCCTGTTAATTCAGCAAATACACCGAAGCACCAGGCATGCATAGGTAGCCTGGTAAATGGAGAGCCGAGGAAAGAATGAGAGATCCTGGGTGGATAGAAGTTAGCAGTCGGGAGGAGGAGAACCGAAGGATAGGACGCTTTTCTCGTGGCGGTGCTAGAGGTAAAGGGAAAAGGAGGTTCGGTGGGGTGGTGCAGGGGAGGACTCTTGCTCAGTGTTTCAGTGTGGAAAGAACTATCAGTGAACTGTGTTTTAGAGCCCAGTTTATCTTTCATGCCCTAAAACCTACAGGATTGGAGAGTTCAAAATTCCCTTAAGGAGTTGGGTCTCCCTACTACTGAAATACAACTGCATGACACTAAGAGAATGGTTATTTTTGCCTCTAAACCCGGCTTAACCCAAAAGAAAGGGTGAGACTAGGAGATGGTAGTATGGTGGGTTTGTCTTGGCTTCATCTGACTAGCTGGGTGATTTGGCACAAGGTGTTTTACTTCTCATGCCCTTCCTCCCACAGACTGTGAAGATTAAATGAAAGGCCCTTAGACGAATGTATGGCACCTAGCTAAGTACTACAACTCAGTAAACGTTGCTAGTTGTTCATGGATATTTAAAGAGGTCATATATTGTGAAACTGATATTACAATGGTGGACGTACATTGCCGTTATACATTTGTCCAAACCCATAGAACATATCACACCAAGAATGAATCCTAGTGTAAACAATGGATTTGGGGATAATGTTGTGTCCATATAGGGTCCTCAGTTGTAACAAATACCCCACCCTGGAGCAGGATGTGCATAGTGGAGGATTTGGACTTGTGTGGGGACAGGGGCTTATGGAAACTCTGCACTTTCCATTCAATTTTGTTGTGAACCTGAAACTGCTCTAAGAAATAAAGTGTTAATAAAATGTAAAAAAAAAAAAAAGATGCCATGTATCATTCTTAACTGTTGAAATATTGTTATGTAGTTGTGTAGCACTGTATAGATTTCAAAAGCACCCTTGGGCACACTGTCTCATAGTAGCCTCACAATTTTAGGCTGAGTAGAGCAGGAGCATTGGGATGGCTAGTTTAAAAATGATGCATAAACTCTGGCCTTTTAGTATAGTGCTTTAGAAAAAAAGTGCATTTTAAAAATCTAGTCCTAAATTTTCTGATTCAGGATCCCCCATGTATGTTTAATTCTTTCATCTATTTAATACACACTACTCAGTTTTTAACTTGGTTGGCTGTTTTGCATGTGAGTGGTAAGTCACATAATCTACTTGTTAGTGGGTCAGGCATACCTAATGCTATCTGAAACTGGTGCAGGTCCCCGAGATAAATTGGCCTTAGGTTTTCATGACTATGTAAGAAATATGTGGGCTCCCTTATCTCAGGACAGCAGCTGTCCTAGGGTGTCTTGAGGTGGGTGTGGTAACTGTTGAGGGAGTTGGCAAGCTGTAACCACATTTAGATTTCCACCAATAGGTTAAAAGCTTAAAATAGGGAAACGTTCAGTGTTGCAATTCGGGCCTTAGTTTCAGGGCTTAGACATTTAAAAAAGTGTTTTTCCTAGTTAAGACCTCACTTGCTCCTCACTACTCTGTGAAAGGGCAGGGGTGACTTCCATTTTATAGGCACGGAAACTGAACTGCCATGAGGTTAGGGGGATTGCCACACTCTCAGCAGGAAAACTGGCAGAGCCAGAGACCCGAATCAAGTCTAGAACTCCACCCAGGGAAGTGTGCTAAATTCTTGACTGCTGTTGTCCAAACATGCCTACTTTCAAAGAAAAAAAACAATGAGCACATCTTTACAGTTTTACGGGAGTTTGTTGAATTCTGTTCTGAACAATTTTTTTTTTTTTGCCTGTAACACTATGAACCCTATTGACCTATCTAAGTCAGGATTTTTTTCCACTCAGGAAAGATTTTTTTTTTTTTTTAAATAGAACCATTTGTGAAACACATTTGAAAATGAAAAGTAAACTGAAGTTATGTCAGAACATTTTAGTAACGTCTCCAAGTGTGCACATTGTTGATACTGTACACACTGAGCAAGGGATTAGAAAGTGTAGACTGGGACTGTTAAGAATAGATTTCATTTTCTTGTTTGTTCCTGGGAGAAAGAGGAAAGGAAATTGTGCTAGTGGAGCATTTGTGGAGCTTGCGGAGGGACAGGCCAGCTGCATCTGAACGATAACTACACCCTGGAAGCTGGCCTCAGCATGGAGCAGATGCACCTGTCCCCTGGCTGGGGCGCTGAAAAGGGGCTGTGACCAGTGCCCAAGTCAAGGGTCATCCATTCCCCAGGTCTGGCAAACATTGGTCACTGTCCCATTGATCAGTGTGAGGGACTGAAGTCTACCACAGGAATTAGAATAAAATGTAGGAAGCTTTTTAACATTCTTAAAGGGTATAAGGGAAACATGGTTTCCATGAAAAGGAAGATAGTAACAATAAACTTGAATGAGAGGAAAAGGGAAGGTGGCTGAGGTACATTGAGGACGATTAGAAGTAAAATGACAAAATTCATGTGAGACAGAAAACAGCAAAATGACATCAAAAATCCAGCTAGTCATGTGGAGATTAAATTTGAGTTTTCCTAGGATGAAGGAAAAAGATGATAGAGAAATGCTGAAAAAAGACAAAAGTATTTTTGAGAAAAAAAAAAATTTAAGAACATACTTTCCCAAGTTGAAAAAAACCAACAACCAAAAAACCAAACTGGGCTAGGGAGATACATGGGATTCGCTTTTGTTTCAGACAAAAGTCATGGACACAAAACTTACAGGGCTAAGTAAACACTGAAGTATCCAAGCAGAAAAATAAAATCTACAAGGGAGGCCTCTGATTTCTGCTATCATGCCAGAAGACAGCATTAATAGGCTTTCCAAACAAAGTGTGACAAGAATTGTGTGCCCAGTCAAGTTCATTTTCATGCTGAAGGCAAGAGAAATCAGGAGAGCAGCTTCTGCCCAGGGTACATAATTCATGAGGTTAATCGAGGAGTTTGGGTTCATCCAAACTGAGTAAGGAATGATCACTAATCCTTTCTACCACAACTTCCCAAATTCTGTACGTAATTTTGATAGGATTCTTTTTTAACTGGAGTATGTCTTCAAGTAGGTGAAAAGAAGGCTCACAGGTGTTATTTTCTGAGCCCTCTCCTACCTGGGAAGTCTTGCCCAGCAAACACCCTCCCCATCCTTCTCTGTCTTCATCCCACCAAGCCTGTACCTCTCTTGTGAGCATTCCTTCCCAGTGCTTGGCACACAGTGGGGTCCATGAACAGGAGATCACATGAGCACAAGTAGAGGGAGCGTGAGATAAAGAGCAGATCTGTACTGCCCTCCTTCATCTGGTTTCCTCATGAAATTTAGGACTCTTGCTAGAAAGTAATGTGGATAAAATTACAGGTTGAAATTCTGATTTTATTTCAAAATGATAAATAAACCGAGGCATAATTCTGACCACATACTACTTCTGGATGGCTTGTGGAGTTAGAGAAACAGTTCCAGGAGGGCTCCAGTCAGACCCAAAATGACACCAACCAAAGTTGTGATTGGCAGAGATGGCCTCTTTAATCCTCAGGGATTTTTTAAAAGTTCTCCACCCTAATTTCTGAGTATCATAAAAAGTAAAAAGCACTTCTACTTTGTCATTTTTCCTTTGAAAATGTTTTTAGCAGCAAACAGGACTACTTGTTTTCCTTACTTCATTTTTATGAGTATAGGAATTCTATGTCAACTTAACTTAAAATTAGAGAGGGAAAAAACCCCAGAGCCCCTCGGTGGCGCTGCTGACCCACGGAAGGCTCGCATAAATAGGTACTCATGTTCGCGTTGTCACTTCTACAAATATCAATAAAATAAGGTTTGTAAATTGTAAATACAGTAGTAGAGTTCACACATATTTGATATGCTTTCACACAAGGATTCAGTAAACAATAAATATAATTTCCCCTCTTCAAAACAAAAAAGGGATTTGTAGGTGAAAAAAAGGGTTAATTTACTCACGGTTTATCAGCACACCACTTTCAGTGTGCTTTGAAAGAATTAAAAACCATGAAATTGTATTCACTGAATACTGGCCCAACAGTTATACTTTTTTTTTTTTTAAACCTGGCTTAAAAAAAAAAATAAAACCTGGCTTAAATACATACATCATGGCTTTCTCTTAAAATCCTTACATCTATGGGGATTTGTGGTACGTAAGACTGTATTAAATTTATTTTTCCTCATTAACAATTTCATTAAGTTAAAAAAAATCTGACATTTCCCTTAAATGTTAAGTTGAAGCCTGATCTATGCTGCTGTGTCCTGTGAAATGAACCTAATTTCAAAGTGAATAGGAACGCCTGAGTGGCCATTTAGAGTGCTGCATTTTTTCCTTCCCTCATGATTCCTGCTGGGTCCTCTTCGCTGAGGCTTTTCCCTGAGTCATATATTTACTGGAAAGGCTACCTAGAGGGGGGGAAAAAACAAAACCCAACATAAATAAAACAAGCCTCACTTTATCACAAAAGCCATAAAATTACTTCTTCTTATTAATTATTTACAGAAACTTTTCACACTGGTATTGGTCACTTATTTTGAATTGAGTAAGCAAGGCTAGATATAAAGAAGGTATGTAAGGAACATGATCTATTAAACACAAACCTAGTCAAAATTCTTTCTAAATGCAGGCAGGTTGCTAGAGTGACATCATTCTAATCACTATTTCCATGTTGGTGCAGAGGGCCAGGTGGACTTTTCGAAACCTCTGCTTTGCATACATCAGTGTCTTCACTTACAGCCACACAGAACAGATTGCAACAAATTCTTTGGTTAGAAATAAATATCTTGTATCATTACTTTGCAGATATGAACCCGTGAATGGTGACATTCTAGCAATAACTTATTGATAGAAATGAAAAAAAGGAAATTTATTATATTTACAGGTAAAGGACAGAAATGTGGATTACTAATTAAAATCATACTACAGAAGAGTTAATAAGTTTTGTTCTGGAGTGTACACAAACAGATCAATGAAACAAGAAAACTGAGAAATTCTTAAGTGATTATGTTTCAGAAAGCAGTATATAACTAACAAAGGTTGCATTTCTAACCAATGATGTAAAGTATGGATTGTTCAATAACTGGTACTATGTCAAATAAGTCATTTTGGGAGGGAGGGGAGAGTTAGTTTTCTTTCCCACAACATACCCTTCCTCTCCACCCAATTCCAAATGAATTACAGAATTAAATATAAGAGCATCAAAGTATAAGAAGTAGTGAATATTCATGTAATTTTGGGGTGGGGAAGTTACCTAAGCACACCACCTCCACCTATGAGAAAGGCTTGCACTAAGGCAAGTCAGTAGAGAAAAGATGAACACCAGCATACAGCTGGGAAAATAAGAAGCGATACATGGGAGAGGATAAAAAAAGCATGAGTGTATATAAGAAACATTTAGTACTAGTGAGTAATCAAAGAAATGCAAATTAAAACAATTTTTGATCACCAAGTTGAAGGAAGATCAGAAGGAGAGAAGTGGGTTGGGATTTTGCTAAATGAATATTCATAGAAATCTTATAATAATTGAAGTATGCAAATAACTTAAACATCCAAAACTTGTGATATGAATGACTAAGTATATAATGGACACAACAGAATACTAGATTTGCATAAAAGGATAATTAATAATATAAAAAGTAGGTTATAAAACCACACAAATAGTATTTTCATAAAAACTAATTAAAGGGGCACCTGGGTGGCTCAGTTGGTTAAGTGTCTGACTCTTGATTTCAGCTTAGGTCTCGATCTCAGGGTGGTGAGTTCAAGCCCTGCCCTGGGCTCCACACTGAACATGGAGCCTACTTAAAAAACTACTAAAAATTAAAAACAAACAAATGAAAAACCCCATCAATCAAATGTTTGGTGCCTCATTTTCCTCATCTGTAAAATGTGAGCTATTACACCTACCCCCCTGGAGTTATTCTGAAGATTAAATACACTGACACAGGTAAAGCAACTGAACAGTAGCTGGCACATAACAAAGAACTCAGTAAATGTTAGCCGTTGTTAGTACATTGATGTGAAAAACATGGGAAGACTTTATTTCTCAAACCTAAGTAGTAGTTATGCTCCAGAATGAAGTATAAATGGCTTTTATTTTATTCATTTTGCCTGTCTACATTTACTAAAGCAATCATATTAATTATGCAAATAGAAACTTATGCCCCCCAGAAGCAAACTTTTTGAAGCAGAGCATCTAGACAGTCAATTCACAGTGACAAATGAGTGATATCAGGAAGAAGCAAAGCACTCTCTTTTGGTATTTATACCCTAGAGCTTTGACTGGTCTACAGGCAACAAATCTTTGATATTCTGAACTGCCCAAAGCATTGAGGATAGACTTATCATTCCAGGGACAAAAAGTTTAGATCACTACACCTCGTACTTTACACACAATCCAGATGCGTTAAAGATCTAAACAGAAAAAAAAAAGTTTTAAAGCTATTGGAAGAAACTATAGATGGATATCTTTATGAACTCAGGGAAGAATTTCTTAAAGATGACCCGAAAATCATTGAGCTACATGACCATGAAAACTAACCATGGAAAATCCATCATTGATTATCTCAAAATTTAAAACTTTGGAATGGCAACAGACACAAGCTGAAAGACAATATATACTGGAGGAAGATATCTGGAATGTATATAATAAAGGAGTATTCAGAAAAAAATGAACACTTACAGATTAAGGAAATGATAATGCAACAGGAAAATAGGCAAACGAGGAATAGGGATTTTACAGAACTCCAACTCGTCAACAAACATATAAAATGGGCAAATGATATGAACAGGGAATTCACAGAAGAATAACTCCAACTGGCTAATAAACATATAATAGCATCACCAGAGCCAAGAAAATATACATTAGAACAACACCAAGGTATTTTTCACCCATCAAATTTGCAAAAATAAACACTGCTGGCGGAAGTGGCAATTATTTCAACCAATAACTTGATAATCTAAGTTGAAAATGCACATATGCTATTACTTAACAGGTTGACTTCTAGATCCACAAACTATAGAATGTCTCATACATGCTCAAGGAGATTCAGACAAGAATGTTCACTACAGCCCTGTTTATAAGAGCAAAAAACCAAATGCAGTCTAAATGCTCTTGTGCTAGTAATGGATAATATATTCTGTATTCATAGATGGAATACTGGAAAGAAAATAAAACTAAATCTCTATGTAGCAATATATATAAATTTCAAAATCACTTCATTAAATAGATATGAGAAAGGTTGTAAAACATTCTTATTATACAGGGTAATACATCATTCAAATTAAAAAATTCACCAAGGATACATATGTTAAAGGGTACATATGTAAGTTTAAAAAAAGAACTGGAAGAACATCTGAACTCATAACAACAGATGCCTCTGGGGTGGAGGGGACACGAAGGAATGGGTCTTGGATGGTAGTCAAAGGAGACTTCAACCATCTTAATGATCTTTTATTGAGAAAAGATTGAGAAGAAAATGAGAAAAAAATAAGGTCAGTTCTCTAGTAGATGAGTTCTATTTGTATCTATGTATTTTTCCCAGCATGTTGGGAAACCACTGTTTTCTAAGAACAGTACTAATAGTTTTATTACTACATCCCCTATATAAAAAAATAAATCTCATCATACCTGAAGAAATTTCATATAAAAATGTGCATGTAAAAAAGCAAACCCACTAGAAATAAAACATGGATGAATTTTTATGTAATCTGGGGGAAGAACATGAAATTTATAAAACTCTATAAGCATGACTTGAAATCACCTAAAAGTTGGCTAGTTGAAAAACTGTCTATATGGCAAAACAAATCATAAATGAGGCTGAAAGAATAATAAACTGGAGTGGTGGTGGTGAAGGACAGAACACATCTGACAAAGCACGAATGGATTTCTATGTGTAAAGAGCTAAAAACAAAGATGAATACCCTCATTAAAAAATACAAAGATAGAAACATGAAGAAATACAGATGAAAACATGTGAAAAACAGGACACTTCAACGGCGGATACACGCCGATGGGCAAAAGACTATTCCCATGAAGTGAGGGTCTGGGAAGCAGGCAGTCAGGGACTCTCTGGGGCGGTCAACAATCCCCTGTTAGCATTGCCGGCCTCATTGTCAGAAGGTGCGTACTTTTTAACCTATCATTCTACTGACTAGGAATTTATCCTGAGGAAATAACTAGGCAAATATGCCTCATAGGAGTTGACATAAACAGTGGTCTTCAAACTTGGGTACATGTATTCCTGAGCCAACTGAACAGGATGAGCGGACAGGGAGCTTTAGGGGACTTGACGGCGGTGCCTCATGTCTACCTGGATTCTTTCTGAGAATGCCTCTGTGGCCAAGGTTTTGCGCTGGTTCTCAGGAGGCACACCAGTCTTCCTTTCACAGTCCTCCTCCTATTTTATAAAAGAGAGGCCTGTTTCCTACTCATCCAAATCTTAATGTGGTACATGGCTCTGGGAAAAAACCTGAGGAGGCAGGAAGGCAAACGAAATGCTGGTATCTAATAAAAATTCCAAATTTTTAGCTTTCGTAAAATTACACTGATAGCTGATGGTCATCACAAATAATTCCTGATGATTCATTACTATGTGATTTTTGGTCATTTTGTTTAAAAAGGAATGGCAAAAACTGAGTGACACTGTTGTAATACATCTTCCATTTCCAAAGAAAGCATATCTATTATTTTTAATATGCTATCATAAAGACTACTGGGGTTTCTTGATGTTTACCCGCTATAAAAACAAAAAAGATTTGGAATAGAAATTTTAAGGAACACTGTTTCATTCTTGTAGTATTGATCCAAAAACACATGACTGCATGGGGAAAATCCCATCTATTTCATTAAATAGCAGTCATTTTCAGGAGGTAAGCATAAAAAGAAAAATCTCTTTCACTAATTTTTAATGAAAAATTGTTACATTTGTTTTGATTTATATATTCTAATGCAAAAACCCAATTTAGAAGAAATTTGTACATTTTGATAAAAAGCTTAAAAAATCCGATTTATGTATTTTTGTTGTAGATAAGGAGGCTAGGCTGATCAATAAAATACTTGAATTTGAATTTTTTTTTTAAATAGATTTTATTTTTAAGTAATCTCTGTACCCAAAGTGGGGCTCGAACTTACAACCCCGAGATCAAGAGTCACATGCTCTACCCACTAAGCCAGCCAGGTGCCCCTAAAATGCTTGAAATATATATGATAAAAATACGCCAACTTAAGATGGAAGTAAAACAAGAATTCAAGGAGGAAAGTAAAATGATGTAAAATTTCTACCTATTACGGAGCTGTAAATGAATGATAGTGTATGTGAAAAAGCAGTGAGGTATTAATTTCATTTGATACGTTTAAGGCTAGTTGGTAAGTTTTATTTTGAAATGTCAACATTTATTTAAAAAA